ATGCAAAGTGTCCTGAATAACAGAATCTTCTAAGTTTTTGCTCAAGCAGTCCTTTCTGGTTGGGTGTACGCTTGCCAGGAATTTTGTTGTTGTGGGCCTAGAAATAACATGAGAGCTGCTTAAAGATGCACCAGCCAAGCCTTATTAATCACTGCCAAGAACTACCTCCCTTAGCCCACAGCAGTATCTTGAAAAAAGGCCTTTGTCTATGCTGGCAAAAAGTACCCCTGAGACCAGGTGCTGTCCAGGCAGCCCGTGACAGAGAGGGCATGGAGCCCTCAGTCCCCTGCCAGGGGCTGTGCCAGCGCTGGTGGCACCTGTCTGTCACCAGGGAGCAGTGCAGTCGCTGTCAGGGTTCAAGCCCGTGTAGTTAATGTCTGAGTCTGTATGGAAGGAAATAAACCCGAGGGAAAGCTGTTTGTGAGTAAAGGGGGAGGGGGAGGATGAAATACCACACCCAGACAGTGGGGAGATGATCATTTTCCAGAGGCTCTGCGGTGCTCGTTGCAGCTCGGGCAGAAGCTTTGGTAGGAGTGACAGTGAGTCTCTGACATCTGGGCAGTTTGCAGGGCTCTGTCTCAGATCTTCCCTGTCATAAACGTTGTAGCTCAGTATATTTTTTGCCCAACAGACTCTGACAGGATCTGTGCCTGTCCTCACTGCTGTGGTTCTCACACTGACATCAGGGATGGTTTATTCCTGCTTTGCGCTGGAAGTGCTGACAGCAGCAGTCAGGATTTCTCAGCCTTTGGTATCCCCAGACTCCCAGAGCACAAGCACTACACTGTTACAGACACCAGGCTGGGAAAAAGCCTGTAAATAATTAAGCTTCTCTTCGATATATTGGAGAGGGGTGATTTAAAGAAAGGTATTGTGTTTTTCAAGGTTTACTGCTGACTTAATTCCTGACATTCCTCTGTGGACCACATAGACATCACCTGTAATTCTTGGAGTTGTTTCTCTTAGAATGTCAGTTCTTGCTGTAAGGATGGGATTTCACTAATTAAGGACATGTCTTGTGATATTGATGTATATAGCAATCTTGTCTGCACTTGGTCTCTCTCTTGCCAGCATGCAAATTAAATGCCTTTTCATTCTAAGAATTCGAAGAACTCTTTTAAGAATCAAATATTCCCAGGAAAAGGCTGAACATGGATATTGATTAATTTTATGGTGTCTGCTGCAAACTGCACTGAATCCAGCCCTGGAACTGGATGAGTCCTAATGCTGGGAGCAGTGGGAGAGCATCCATTTAAGGTGCACATGACAGGCTGGGAATGCCGACAGGGATGGTGTCCCAGTGGGAAAGGTTACGATACATACTAGCGAAAAGGAGTGGGAGCAGGAATACTTTTACATTCCAGCCACCTATTGACACCTCAAGTGACCATGGCCCCGAGTAAATGAACAAGCTCCATTTCATCACAATAAGAACAGATGCACAAAGAAGTTGTTGGAGTCACTGTTAACATCCCAGCTTGCTGGAGGAGAGCTGTCATGCACTCACTGTTGATTTGTCTACGCATTTATTTATGCAAAAACTTAAAGCTTTACTTAAGACTTTTGTTTCCATATAAACATTTTCCCCCTAGTTGTTTTTGGCAGTATAAATATTATGGAAAGGGTTTAAAAAAATCAAGACAATGAAGATTAGGTGGTCTTCATTGTGGCAAAAGAAGGGAAACGTAAGTGAAGTGAGGTAGATTTTCTTTTGCATCTACCCATATCAGAAAAGAGATTCCCCCTATTCCAGGTGTAAATAGAGCTGAAGGAAAGGAATGTATGAGGAATAACTAAGTGGGAAAGGAAGGCTGCAGTGAAGGGAAACCCCTTGGTACAGGAGGGAATGTGGAGAGCCTGGTGCTTTGACTGTATATTATGGAGACAGGGACAAGGACTCTTCATTGCCAGTGGAATCTCCATGATTTTGCTATCTTTTTACCAGGAACAGTGTTAGACAAGGAATATGAAGCTGCAGGTAATGTTATCATTAATATATGAAAGCTTTTATTCAGTAGTCTCTCTGTAGAGCATGTCTTCCCTCTGCAGTCACTTTAGACTCTGAAATCCAGTTCTATCTTAAATTCTAGTGACCCCTAGCTGAGGAGTCCTAGTGCTTCACATCCTGCAGCCAGGAGTAGCCACTCCTCAGCGTGTTCTCTGAACCAGAGCTCAGACCCTACAGGAATCTTGCTGGGATTGGTGTATTTAAAAATTCTCTTCTAATGCAGGCTCGGGGTACTGTGGTTCCCACCACAAAAAGGATGCCCAAGGTGTTTTCAGGAGCAGCCACCCCACAGCACATATCAGAGTGAGTGCAGGTGCCATCATCTGTGCTGCACCAAGGGCCAGGGTGTCTGTGAATGGGATGAGACTCTAGGAACAGATTTGCCTATCCAGAAAAACCTTGCTCCCTGATCGTGGGAGAGACAGCACAGAGCCTGTGCTGCTGGAGGGGAGCCCTGGGTAGTCCATGCCTTTGGACAGGATGGAGTGAGTTTTAACCTCAGTTAAATATGTGTATCCTATTTGTATGGGCTTTGGGATGGGCATCCACCTGCAAAGTTACAGGATCCTTCTAATTCAGTAGGAGCTGTGGGCAGTGTGTTAAGGTGAGTCCACTTTAACCACCGGATATGCCAGCAATGGGTATTGAAATCTGACTCATTGCAGATATACCTAATGTTAAAGTTCACTAGAGGGTTACAGCTGAGTTATGGCTGTTCAGTGTAATTTCACTTTTTTTAAGACTTAAGGTTCCAGGAAATACATAGAGTAGTCTGGCAAAATGTTTTTGTAAGCCATTGATAAAAATTAGTTTGGCACTTGAAACAAAAATATAGTTGTCTGAATAGTTAGAACTGTAAAAGAGAATAAAACATTATTTTTAATTATTTTTAATTCAGTGGCAGCCCTCTCTGACCTTTGCAGACCCCAGGGGTTTGCCTGGGCTGGAGGCCGGGGGATTCGTGTGCTGGAGGACGACACAGGTTGGTGGCCGGAGCCTCTCGAAAGAGAGGGATCAGCCGTGCCTCCTCTCCATTAGAAGGCACCAGAGATCCACCGTGGCGCTCCCATTTCTCCAGCCGGGAAAGCTGGCGGTGGCTGTTGCACATAACGGGTGCCTCGGAGAGCCCACTTCACTTCCCCGAATTTCTTTTTCTAGTCCCACTGAAAAAATTCCCCTGCTTGAGACCTCCCTCTGCTTGAGAGCCTCCTTTTACTGAGCTGACACAGTAGGAAAGCTCCATTCTCAGGAAAACTGAGGGAAATGTCTACTAGGGTTTTTTTTCTCAGTGTGCTCTCTGTTTATTGCAGACCCAAGCCTGGGCTGAGGGACACGAGGTTCTCTGTCTCCCGTGGAAAATTAATCCCTCACCAGCTCTCGACACACCGAGCAGAACTGTGTTTTCCCGTTGCCCAGCGGGGTTGGACCAGGTGCCCCTGCATTCCGGGGGACAGAGTTGGCTGTTCTGCAGGAGCTGTTGCAGAAGAGCTGCCTTCTGTCATCTCATTTGCTGCTTCTTTGGCCTACTCAGTAATTAGGCTTTAATATTTAATTTCTGCCAACATACAGAGATCCTGAAACTCTCCAGATGACCCACTATGCAGACAACAACTCTGGACTAGTACTTTTGTAACATTTCCGCTTCTGGTTCCACTGATCCTCCTGAATTATAGCTTTTGTGGGAAATAAAATCTGAAGAATAATATTTAGAAAAAAATTCTAATGACTTAAGGTAAAAAATTTCAAATTTCATTTAAACCACTAATGTGAAAGATCAAAAAGAAAGGATCCTCAGTTCAGCAAATTTTAGTCCATTTAGGAAAAGCTGCTTTGGGCATGCAGAAGACCACAGGTGGATCCTCCGAAAGGTGGGGGAGGGAATCTTGGGCCTCCCCTGATGCTGGAACTGTAGATAAATCACTAACCATGCCCTGCAGCATGAATGTGTTATCCTATCCACCACAGATGGGTAAACCACTTTGTTACTTGACTTCTGTGTGGTAACTGCTGGATCCCCATCCTTGCTGTAAGGCTGTGCTGGTCATCTCCCAGGACAGGAGTTGGGTTCCTAACACACCTGCCCCCAGAGCCCTGGTACGTGTCCTCACCTCAGGGCTGGGGGCTGAGAATGAGTGTCCCCTGGCCCAGCTCTGCAGGAATCCAGCCTCTTTCTCCTTCTCCAGTCCATGGGTTTATTTTTCAGATAATTTGATTTGTTTTAGATAGTTTTAGGGGACTCCAAGCTATGTTTCAGCATGGTTCTGCTGTGGTGTTTTAAATAATACAAGAGTATGGCTAAAGCTGGATAATTGCTCTGAGTTCTGTCTGTCCTGGAGTAAGGACTGCTCTCCCTTGGAGCTCGAGGAGTCTGAACCTGTTGCTGGCATTCAGGAATGAGAAGGTAAGCCAGCGTTGAAACGGTATGGACAATGGGGTGGGAAATGTGGTGTGTCTCTTCTTCTGGGACCCTTTCATCGGGAATGCGGCCGCGCAGGGGCGGTGCCGTGACCCCGGGACTCGGCCTTACCAAAATCAGAGTGACCTGGGCTGAGCTCGGATGGGACCCCGCTCTGCTCCGGGGTGTGAGCTGTCCCCCAAGGCAGGTGTGTGTGTGCGTGTGTGCACCCGGGCACGGGGGGCAGAGCCCGGCCCTCCCCTGGCCAGAAGCGATAAAAGTCACGGCACGAGGCTCGAGGAGGAGAAGGGATAACCCAGGAGCGAGGGGGGCAGAGTGGCTCGGGCGGTGGGGTGATCGAGAGGACTGTCCTTGCCCGCCGCAGGGCGGGGACGGGGACAGGTCCTGACGGCGCGGCGGCGTGTCCGTGGCGCGGCCCCACGCGTGTCCCGCCCGCGCTGCCGCAGCTCCTCCCGCCGCCAAAGGGGGTCTGGCCGGGCTGTTCCTCTTCCCCGGCTGCTCCGCTCCTCCGCTCCCGGTTCCACAGCTCGGGGCTCCTCCGCTCCCGGCTCCTCTCCTCCCGCACGCCGGTGCTGCCCGGGCCGGTGGCTGCTCTGTCCCGCCGCGGACCCCGCGCTCCGCTCCCCCAAGGTAGGCGCGTCCCCGGCTGTGCTCTCCGGACCCGGGATCTGATCCGCTGCCCCGGTGGCGGGGCTGGGCAGTGGGGACCATCGCTCGCTGCTGGCCGCAGCTCGGGAGATGCGGTGCTCGTCGGCGGCAGCTCCGCTGCTGCCCGCAGTGTGTTACGGGCCGGGGGTAGCGCTGCCAGGGGCCCGGCTGAGGCGAGGAGAACCTCAGACAACACCCATGGCACTGACGGTGACACCCATGGCACTGACGGTGACACCCATGGCACCTGCTCTCGTCCTTCCCGAGCGCCGCTGTGGCCGCGGGGGAGTTCAGTCATCAGTTTCCCTGGGACCGAAGCGCAGGGTGATGTCCCTCCTGGCTGTGTCACCGTTCAGTCCCAGCCGCTCGGCAGAGCCGCAGCTTCCTCCCGAGCGGCGCTCGGGCAGCGCAGGGGAGGGGGAGAGAAATTGTCTGTGAACCCTCGAAGATCGCGGTCCATTTCGAGAGGCTCAGCAGTCCCCACCAGAGGGGATGCGGCTGCTGCTCATCCTCCGGGTGCGCGTCCAGCCCTTCCCTCAGTCCCGCTGCGCTCCCTCCCCCTCAGAGCACACCCTGCTCGCGGTGCGAGCGCAAACCGCGCAGGTGGCTGCATTCCTCTGCTTTGCTTTGGGTTTACCTTCACCTTCGGGGCTGGGAGCCGGGATCGACCGCCTGCCTTCACACCTGTAAAATTCCCGCTGACGAAACCCCGGGGACAACGAAGGTCCGACTCGAGCATGATGTCAGAGTGGAAGCATTAGTAGACTTGGCCCAAGGAAAATTATTATTTTAATAATTTTGTGACTTGCAGCGTGAAAGAGTAAAGAATGTATCGTTACGGTACCCCGGGTACACTTTGTAGAGATGCAAATCATTGTAATTAGTACTCAGATTAGCTTAACTTCAAGGAATACCTGCACTCCTTCCTCGGAACTTGTATGTATTGATGTATTTTCAAAAATAAATTCAGCTCCAGACTGCTGTGCAAGGAAGTTTCCTTGAGCATCTGAGCTTGGCTGACATCAGTCAGGTCACCGTGGTGTAGAAGCAGTGGCATGGGAACCTGATTTATGGCTGTTACATCTGAAGGTCTGTTTTTCCTCTGAAGAGTAAGTTTTGCGGCTAGAAAAGAGGTGCTGGTGTGGCTTTGTTTGAAACTGAAGGCTTAGTCTGTTCCTTTCAGAGGCACTGATAGGGATCGTAAACGTTTGCTGCTTCATTTGTTTTATTGTTGGATCTTGTTTCAGTTCTGAGATGGGAAATCAAGATTTTATTTTCGTTAGCGTGAGAGAAGGAGCTGGGTGTGCTGGTGTGGGAACTCACAGCATCCCATGGCAGCCCTAGTTCCCAGTAATTCTCTTTTCTCCGACATACATTTTATGATTCCTCCCTTTTCTGGTTCAGTAACGTGATTTTGTTACTTCAAAGTAAAAAAGTGAAGCTGCTCAGTAGGTGTTTTCAGACTGTAGATCTGAGAAAATGTTCAATGAACAAACAGATGCCCTGGAGAATGATCCGGGTTGGACACAGTCCAGATCCTGATGCACTGTTACTCCCTCATTTTATTCTTTTAGGGCTTTGTACTTCCAACAAGAAATAAACTTGTATGTCAGAGGGATGTCAGTATCAAACCCAAGCAAATAAAGGTGCTTTGCATGTAAATGCTTCAAATATAAAGTGGCTGCTGTACCCCAGGGGGAGCATTCAGGCTCTCTCAACTGTCACTGAACTCTACAGTCCTACACTCCAGTGTTCCCATTCGTGTCAGGGGAGACTGGAAAACTGAAACCTGTGCTGTCTGCTAATGACAGCTGTCCCTTTGCAATGGGAGAGGAAAGCCAGTCACTGCAGCCAGCACCAAGGCAGAAATCAGGTTTGCTTTTTTGTTCATAGCTCATACATGAAATTTTTTTTAAGAACTTGTGTGATAACCTTGATTTTACATGTAATCTTTTCAATTAAAAAAAAAAAAACCCAGAATGGTATGAAAGGCTTGTGTAATAGCTTAAATCAAAAAGCTGACACTTTGAATTTCTTCTTCTGTAGCTTTTATCCTTCCACACGACCTCAGCAGTCAAAAGTGCCTTTTGACTCTATCTAGCCAAGTTACTATGTCCATTTATTTTGGATATTGACCTCACTGCAATTAGTCATCACTGACGCTACAAAATATGTGTTGGATAATATGGCAAACACGAGCCAGATCCTCGGATCTTTGGATCTGCTGCTCTGTTTCTACCCTTCCCATAGCTTGCAGCAGTCCTGGTCTGGGTTACAAAGTTATGGTGTTACTGGTTTGCCTAGTAAATTCCATTATAATGTGCTTTTTCCCTGACACTCAGTGTTTCCCTCAGAGCAGTAAACCTCCAGTGAGAAGTCTGTCAGCTCTAAATGTATCTTCATCGTGAGCGATGACGAGTTTTTGCCTCCTGCCCTCTCCAGGATGCACCATCAGGACACCGCCGAGGTCTGCTGGGATTGACCCGCAGTAGCACCGTCCCAGGGCTGAGTGGAACCAGAGGAGTGGGAAAGCACTGAGCCTGGGCTGAGCACACCATGGGGGCAAACACCTCCAGCAAGTCACCACCCTTCAGTGGGAACGAGGATGGTGAGAACTTTTCCTGTTTGTTCTCTGGGACCGCAGAGTCCCCAGTGCAAGCTGTGACTGTGAGGGTTGTGGGCAGCGCCTGAGGCTGCAAATACCCGGTAATGCTGGGGCAGCAGGGGTGTGTGGAGGTCAGCAGCAGCACCAGCACCAGCAGCAGCGTGCCCACAGTCCCTGCAGAGCTGTGGTCTGTTTTTTGGGGTCCTTTTGCCTCCCTTTGCAGCAGCTGGCTCTGGGAGCAGGACTGTGAGCAGAGCTTTGGTGTTGAGGTGTCCCTGGCACACAAAGGCAGGGACAAAACACTGCTGCTCTGGAGGCTGGGAAGGTTTGTTCTGGAGGTCCCAGCATGTGGAGGACCGGTAGGAAATGTGGTGGGAAGGTGGCTGGAGCAATGTTTGCTCCCATGGGTGTTCCTGGTGGCTGCCCACAGGCGCTGGGAGGCCAAGCCTGCAGGCTAGGTCGGCTGGAAAAGGGGGGCTGGAAAAGTACTGCTTGGAGCAGTATTGAAGGCCAGGGTCCCTGTGCTGCCAAGATTATAGACAGTCATTAAAAGATTGCTCCATAAATATATTTGCTGTTGCATGAGTCAGCTTGCTGACTGCCATATGGGCTTTTACCTAGGTACAACAACAAGATGCATCTGTAGATAAATACAAATACATATAATTAAAAGTAAAATATAGAAGGACCTGGATACCCCATCAATGCTTGTCCAATGTGCCCCGTGGTGCCACTGCAGGTCTGTGGCTGCTTGGCTAGACCAGCTGCAGTTTTCAATTTATTAGTGTAACTGCTTGCAAGTTTTCTTTGTTTTTCATATTTTTTCCCAGTTGCTGTAGTGCAAAAGGAATCTGTGCTGTGAGGTTTTCCTGGAGATTTTGTTCCTGGTGCATCTCAGTGCTCAGTTTTGGCATCTCTCATAAACAACCATGTGTGCTTGCTCAGAATGATGAGCAATTCTCCTGTTCCTGACCACCTTGCTCAGGGTGATGTGCCCTGGCTGTGGGATTTTCCTGGGGTTGGCTGGTCTCTGCTGGATCTCTCTCAGGGTTTGACGTGGTTCACACAGCACCAGCTCCTGCAACAGAAACACAGCAATGCCAGGAAAAGCCCCATCCTGACCATCCTGGGTGGTTTGGTGTCACTCTGTTGGGCTTCAGTGGGCTCAGGGCCACCCTTCCACGCTGACACAGCATCCAGACTAGTGCAGTTCTGCTTCCATGGCCCTGCCCACATTTAAAAAGTGGTAGCACATTTTTTCTCTAATTTGTCTTGTTTTAATATCCTGAGGGGAGAGAAATCCATCTGGAACGGAGATGTCCTCTGTGGAATTTTCCATTATCTTGCAAATCAGTGACCAGAAGCTATATCACCTTAGATGTCACAATCTTGTCCTTACCCTAATTTCAACTTACATTGTAATTAAGTAAGAGGTGCTGGGTACAGCAGGAAGCAGCACAGCGTTCCATGGCACGAGCAGGTCCCTCCCCCCAGGCTGTGGGCAGTGGGGACCAGTCCCACCTCCCACCTGTGCCACAGGGAGGCTTTTCCTTTGGGACCTGTGAGGGTGGATGGAACAGCACAAGTGGTGTGGGTGCTCCAGTGCCAAACCTAATGATTCTGGCTTATTTTCCCAAATTGCTGTTGCTATAATTTCCCTCATTTCTGTGGCACCATGATTTTTATTTGAACTTTTGGAAGGGCTTTGTTTGCCTTCAGCTGAAGCAGGGTGAGAGTACTATTTTTCTCTCAGCATTTCCTCTGATAATTGTGGATAATAAGCAAGTGAGCTGAAAAGAAAATGTAATAACCAGACAGAAGGTTCAGGGCTACAAAGTGATCTGACTCCTGGCATAGTCAGGATGACACCATGTGAAAAGCCCCGTTTTGTTTGTGCTGTTCCTGTGCCCAAGGGTGTGGGAAGAGTCCTGGGGTGTAGTAGGTGAGGACAGTGGTGGGGTCAGAAGGACACACATAATTCCATGGTCCTTCACTGGTGCCCTCTCCAGCCCACCAGCGGCTGTTCTGGGTTTAAATCGTCCTTGGACCAAGCAGAGCACCAGCCGTGTTGTTGTTCCTCTGCCTGGGTCTGCACCGTGTCCCACTCCCCGGGATAGAGGGACTGGCATGATCCCTGAGCAGCAGTACTTGTTTTCCTGAGGCTGCAGAGCAGAGGAGGGGAGGGAGGGAGGGAATATAATGAAAAGGAGGGAAATCATGGTGAGAAAAGGAAGGGGAGTTGTAACACAGGTGGTGCTGTGCTTGCTGTGCTGGGGTGGCAACAGGGATGGGGGGACCTGAGCTCCTGAAGCACTGACTTTGCTTGGCAGATGAGCTTGGGGACTTTGGCAGGATTGGTCTTTGTTAAGGATTTTTTTTGTGGCTGGTTGGGATCTGTACTTTTTAATCTAAATATTGTTCCTTGAACCTCAGTTTAGAAATATGATCCCTGCCTACAAAACAGTGTCTCGTGATTATACCCCAGTTGCTTCTTTATGGCAATTGTATTATCTTCCTCTGCATCTCCTAAACACAATTTGTCTGAGTTGGCAGAGCACATAAGGTTTTTCTCTGAAGGGCAAAAGCTTTGGCTTTTTTCTTTGCTTTAGATGCCATCAGGCAGGGAAATGCAGCTTGTCAATTCTGTAGGGTGTGGATTCAGAACAAACAGCATGTGTTTGGTTCCTGATTTGGACACCACAAACTTCAGTGCTCTTCAGTAGCTAGACTCTGGAATGACTGGCTGTGAAATGGTAGGAAGGCTAAACCAGAGAAAGGTTAAAATGTACCTGTACCTAGTTTGAGAGTCTTAAATAAAGTTTGTAACCTGGGTTTTTTACACCCAGCTCAGTTACAGGCCCATGTTTAAAATGTTAGTGAAAACATCAGTGTTAAACAACAAGGAGGCAGAGGGTGTGAACATGCTCCTGAAAGCATTCCTGTAAAGGACAATAGGGATATAGGGGGTGAACATGCAAAAACTGGCTGCTGGTCTAACTCCTCTGGATTTGCTGCTGTTCCAGATGTTAATGCCCAGCTGTTAATGCCATGGTCTGCCCTGCTCTGCAGAGCCCCATGTGGGGTCCCAGTGCTGGGGACCAGAGATCCCCCTGTCCCCACAGCCAAGGCTGCGTGTCATGGCACAGGGCTACTGCAGCTGACCTCTCTCTGCAGCAGGCACTCCTCTCATCCTCCCCTGCAGGTGATAAGCATCTTCACCCTCCCTTTTTGTTCTGCAGGTACCCTTCTCTCTGATGGTCTCACTGGCAAACAGATCCACTTAAACTCAATCAGCAGCAGCAGCTTGTATCTGCTCTGATAGTTGCAGCTGTTCCGGGTTTGAGAAAGGGCATAAAAGCTCACGTTCCTTCCAAGTGCTGTATCTGGTCACAGTAAACTTTGCTTTGGTTAGACTGTGCCATCCTACCCAAAAAGGTAATGGCAATGTCTTCACGTGGTAGAAGGGTTTCATGAACTAAGCTTTGCATTTGGTCTCATCAGGAGCAAGATGAGGCTGATATTTCTAACAGGCAGGGCAGGAGGGCAGAGGGAGAACATCAGCTTGGTGATTCCCTGCCTGATCTGCCACTGGCAGAGGCTGACCCGGGGAATTTGCCTTTGCAGCTGAGCTGGAGAGAAAAAAAGACCCTGTTAAATGCTGAGTTTAAGTAACACCCAAATCTCCAAAAGAAACAGAGTATTGCTGGGTTATCCCTCATTTTTCTCAGCTCATATGGGGAAAAAGTAGAAATAATGTGATATCATCCAGTGTTTGCTCAGCCATTTAATATTGAAATGTTTCCTCTTTCTTGCAGTTACCTTCGACCATTTTGAGATTTTGCGAGCTATTGGGAAGGGCAGCTTTGGAAAAGTGAGTGTTTTGGGAATTAATCACTGTGTGGACAGCTGGAGATGTAACTGGGAGGAAGTGGGTGAACTGGAGGCTTGCATGAGAGCACAGGACCAAAGCCCTGCATTGTCAGTGAGCCTTGACCTGAGTTTCAACTCCTGGTAATCAGGAAGGATTCAGAGCTCGATTCCTCATCCATTCTGTAGCTACAAATTATATTACAGGAGATTAAAATGAGAAATTGATCAATCAAATGAACTGAATTTCATTATGTTTCTGAATAGCATTTCCTAAGATTTCCCAGCAAATCAACACTGAACATCATGATGCATATTTAATAAAGATCTACAATCAATATGAAAGCCCGGCAGGGTTTTTAGTATGTTAAATGTTTCTCTGTGAGGCACAGTGTTTGTTATTAAGCATCAGGTTTCGGTCATGCATTTTATTGTCATGCTGCTGTGGAATTTGCCGCTTGTATAGGCTGACAGACGGTCATTTGCCTCTTCACAGAAAGGCATGCTGATGCCAGAAACGGGATGTGCTTGGGTGCAGAGAGCAAAAAAACTCTCGGACAAAGAGACAAAGAGATTTATCTGGAGGCAAAAATAAAAGTTTGACTGAAACTTGCAAATTCATCCCAACTGTTGCTTAAACAAACACGAGCCACCAGAGCTGAGCACTCTCACGGGCTTGGAGGCTTGCCTTGAAGTCATGTTTCTTGCTAGATTTGGGGATATATAAGAAAAGTTACAATTCAAAGGCCAGTATCCCCCAAACAAAGCCCAAGATTCACTGTGAGCTGAGTGAGGAAGGCGAGGATCAGGAGCTGCTCCCAGTGACTGAACTGTAGTCCTGTGGTGGAGGGGGGCTCTCACTCCTGAACAGCAACTAGTGTGGGAGGGATGGACCCGACCATGATCAGTGAGTCAAATTAAATGAAATGTTGACTTCTGTGCCATTCCCTATCTCCCATCTTGTGGTGATAAATTCATTCTGCTCACCCTCCCCACAAAATTTCTCTTCAGGTGAAAATTAGGCAAGAGATTCCTGGGCAACATCCAGTGTTGCGACATCTGTGCATGCAGTTGTGCCTTGGCAGTGTGGGCTCTGCCAAAGCCACTGGAGAACACTCGTGTCACTGGGTTTTACCAGCCCGAATTAGCTGACAAATCATCTCTGATTTATCCCTTGATTTGCTCTCCTAGGTCTGCGTGGTGCAAAAGACCGACACCAAGAAGATGTACGCCATGAAATACATGAACAAACAGAAGTGTGTGGAGCGTAATGAAGTCAGAAATGTTTTCAAGGAGCTGCAGATTATGCAGGGTCTGGAACACCCCTTCTTGGTTAATTTGTGGTAAGAGGTGGTTCCTTGGTTCAGTGGTCGAGTCACTACAATCAGTTACAGACACCTTTGAGACCAGACCCCCCTGGTCTGCTGCAATCCTGTCCCTGGAGCAGCTGATGTGTTCTGCACACCAGGGCTCTGGTCTCAGGGGAATCCTGTTTAATGAAACAAGCAGTGATCTGTCTCCCTTGTTCCCCCAGACAGCACACAAGAGTTTATTCACGTGTTCCCTTGCAGTGCCCCCCAGGCAGGTATTGCCCGTCACCATAACCCACCTGTATTTAATGGTGCTCTTTGCAGCAACAGCAGCTCCCAGCAGCAGCGCAGGATCGATGGCCAAGCAGGGCTCTTTGCAGGGTGTCCCTTGGCACTGCATTCTTCTTAATTTTATTAGGACACCAGTAACATTCCAAGTGGTGTGAGCTCATACACCGCGTGATGGAGTGGCTAATATTCTGTAGTTATAGGAGTCCTCTGGGGTGGTAGGTAATTACATTTATTGGAAATTGGATTTAATTTCAGAATAAGGTAGAACTTATCGATGCTAAACACAAGAAATGAGGCTAAAACACATTGAAGATCACAAATCTTTGAATTACTGTTCCTTTCTGAAATCTCCTGTAACCTGAGTGCTGTTTGGTGAACTCTCAGGATTTTGCTGCAGCTGCTGTTCAGTGTTGTTCTCAGTGGGGTGTGAGTGGGAAAGGTGCAGCCACACCTCCCAGGTCATATCTCCATGCTTTGCTTTCCTACTTGAACACAGTTCCAGGCAAAGCTCACTCAGCAGCTGAGAACTGACCAGTGTGTGCATATGTACAGACCTGTGTGGAGCAAACCACCCAAGTGTCCCTGTTCTTGCCATGCCTTCCCTGGCCTCAGAGTGACTTTGCCGTTCCTGTGGCTTTCCTGCACTCTGAGAGATACACAGACTATAAGCTTTGTGTGGAGCAGTGCTCTGGTTTGTGGTGCTGCTCACCCCATCCAGCACTTGGTGTGTTGGTAAGGAAAAATCCAGGAGGAAAGGGCTCATAGCTGGTAGTCTGCCCCTCTCAGAGGGACACTGGGTAAACAGTCCATCAAATAAGGTCACTTAAAGAGGACTGGCAGAGAGCAGCTGCACCCCTGGTGTGCTGAGCACATGGGTTCATGGACAGGCTGCTGCTGGGAGAGCTGGCACCTGACAGAGAGACCTGAGGGTCTGGCCAGGGCTGTGCTGGGCCAGGGCTCCTCTGTGTTGCTCCTGTGGTCACTCCCCACAGGTGCTCAGAGAAGGCAGAATGTCTGTCTGGAGTTGTCTGTCTGCTGTGACTCCATTATGAATCAGAGACTAAATTACTGTCATCACAGGTGTGACCATAGGATTTTAGTCACAGTGGGAAATGGAGCATGGAAAGGTCATGAAATTTTAATTTCTCAAGTGAAAAAGTTCCAAGAAATGATGAGTATTCCCAGAGGTACCACATGTCACTTTATGACCTGTTATTTTTCGGTGTTACCATCCCTGAACCATGGGTGTGCTGTTTCAGGTACTCATTCCAGGATGAAGAGGACATGTTCATGGTTGTCGACCTGCTGCTTGGAGGGGACCTGCGTTACCATCTCCAACAGAACGTGCGGTTCCAAGAGGGCACAGTGAAACTCTTCATCTGTGAGCTGGTGCTGGCCCTCGACTACCTGCAGAGCAGGCACATCATCCACAGGTCAGCTGGGACCTCGGGAGGGCTGATGGCCACAGGCTGCACTGGGGAAAGGCTCGTGCCTCTTTGATGTGAAATGACAAATAGAAGTTTCAGTGCTAAACAAAATATTCTCCCATGTACATTTGCTTTCACAAGGCTTCCCCAAGAAAAGCATTTCATATACAGCAGAGAGCGTCTGATTTCTCCCTCTGGGGTAGCTGTGAAATATCATATTTGATTGTCTGCTGATCCTGCAAAAAGCAGTCTCTAATAGGTTTAATTAGCTGTAGCTCATTAATATCTGTTCTGGTCCAGGGAGGGTAGGTGTCAGCACTTGCAACTCCCCCATGTTCACACTTGGAGGTGTCTCTCTTTGTCCCCATCTCTGTACCACTCCAAAATACGTGGAATTGGCCCAAACACAGCTTTTTTCTGTGTGAAGTAAATCCCTTTCTAGGATTTGGCTACCAAGATTTCTCATGGCCAGTGAAAAAATGTGTGTGAGCTCTTGCCACACCTTTGAAGACCTGCAGAGTAGCAGAGGAGGAAGAGCTTTCCCCTGACTGGGAAGCAGGGTTTGGCTCTGGACAGAACTTGCACGGGTCTCTGCCCCAATGTGAATGTGAATGTGAAGCTGTAGGTGAGGCTGCAGTGTGCACTTCGTGCAGCTGCATGTGTTTAAGGTGAATCAAGTACAACAAAACATGTATGGCAGGCTGTAAAATTTGCAAGTTATTTAATTAACACTGTAATGAAAGTTGTTTAATTAACACTGTAACCCAGTGGGACGGTATTAGCTAGATAAAGTGACTCAACTGAGTCAATTAGAGCTGCAACAGCTGTAATTGGGAACATCAGGAGACAGGGAAGCAGTGGCTTCGTGTGGCTGAACAAAGCTGTGCAGAGACAGCAAACCCAGGCTGGAATTATTTCACACCTAGATATAAAAGAATAGGAAATATTAAGATCTTTTAGGTTAGGAAATGGTATAACCATCTTACTGTTCTGGTGTAATTCCAGAGGCTGCATGTCAAACTGAGGGAAATCAGAAAAAGCCACATTAGAAATTAAAAAAATAATAATTTTTTAAAAAAATGGAAACAGTTCTGCTGTGCTTATGGGGAGAACCAACCACTTACCTGACACAGCTCCATGCTCTGCTAATGATGCCTGTCCCTGTGTTTACCTGGGTGATGGGGATGGCACCAGGAAGGAAACTGGTGTTTGTAATCCACTGGAAGTAATTTGGGTGACAGGAGGCCAGAGAGCTGTAAGCTATTACATGACAATTAAGTATATTGTGTTTTCCTGATTCCAGGTGGCTCGGTGAACTCAAACTGTATCTTAGGGATCAAATTTTCAAAGGCAAAATCCTAAACCTGCTCATTTCTTCCCTTGGAACCCCTGGGCCTTGTGGGGAGCACCAGCTGGCACAGGGTCACTGTTCCTGCCCTGTGGCTGAGACCTTCTCCCTGGGGCACTGAATGGCATCAGTTGGGCAGGCACTCAATGGGGGCTGGTGTAATGAGCTCATTAAAGCCAGGTAATAGCTTGTAAAGTCACTCAGGTGGACACAATGGGTGTATCAGTGTATCAGGTGTACCTTTCCTCCCTTTGGTAAAGAGTTTCCCTACAGCGTTGCTATAGGTATTATTTTGTGGTTCTTTTTACTCAGGAACAAAATCCATGGAGAACATGTTTGTTTCTAGACCAAATATGTTTAAAATAATTTAATTTGTGCTGAGTATTCCATTCTTGACAGAGTATTGAAACAGGTTGAGAAGTAACAGGAGGAAAAGGATGAAAAGAAGCTCTAACTTAACTGTGGGTGGACTCACCTGAGTTCTGCTCACCCCAATCCCTGCAGCCTTCACGGCCCTGGCCCTGTACCCACTGCTGCTGGTGCTGTTTGATTAGTCACTGTCTAATGCCTAAATCAAACAGGAACATCGGAGCTGAGAAGCCCCGAGGGCACGGTGTCTCTGGCAGTGTGTCCCAGAGCCTGGACTTTCCTGCAGTGCCTGCAGCCGTGTTTCCTGACCCTTCTCTAGGCTAATGGCTGTCTCTGCTTCTCTGCTTTTTTTCTCAGAGACATCAAGCCCGACAACATTTTACTGGATGAGCATGGTAAGTGCCAGCTGCTTTGCTGTTGTGTGTAAGCATAAAAGCAGAGTCAGAGACAGGAGACCCAAGCTGCAGTCTCAGTGCTTGCTGGTGTCCTCACTTGGTGTTGCTCTCTTTCCCTCAGCCCAGGTGGGAGTGGTGCTATCCCATCCTTTTGTGCTTCTCTTGCTTTCTGAGTGGCAGTGTCTCATACCTGCAGGGCACTGGGCACCCTGTAATGCTGCTTCTGGGGGTGCCTCAGTGTTTAACCAACACCTCCTTTTGCTGACTGACCTGATGATGACCCTACAAGGCACTGGCAGGGACCCCACACTGGTGCTGCTTGGGATCAGTTGCTGATTTTAACATTTTCTTGGGCTCTTGCTTAAAACTTACTCAAAATGCATTGTTTGAAGGGTGATGCTTGTGTTACTGCAGGGTTTGTGTAGTGTGTGCTCACAAACAGAATGAATTATGGTGCAACAGATAATTCTTATTCAGGTGTTTTCTTTTTCCTTGAGCATTTGGCACTGGGAGGGAGCTCCAAAGAGGATTTAAGGCTGGGTATGTTATAGATGTTGCTATCAGTTTTTCAATAGTGTTTCCCAGGCAAAACCCTTGACTATATTCTTGCATGACTCTGTAGTCACACTTTTTTTCCCCAGCAAACGTCTCACAGTGAAGAGTTTTCCAATATTTAATAGCTTGTAACTCATTAGAGGAACACTTTGTCATAGCATATTTTTTGAAAAAATCCTTGTAACTGACTTGTTGTGAGAAATCTTAATTAGCAGCTACAGCAAGGCAATTGAAGAGGAAAAGTCAGTGCAAGGAACAGGCATATCCAAATCTATTGTCACTTCAGAGGCTACAGCAGAGATGCTGCATCTCTCAAGGGAGGCATCACCTGGCTCTGTGTGACCGTGTGTGTGACCAGGGTTGCCTGGCAGCACTGAGCCCAGGCTCGATCTGTTTGCATCCGACCTCTAAGTTCAGAGCACTGGCTGATTATTTATTTAGGAGCTGGAAGCAAAGCAGCTTTACCTCCAGGGGCTGGAGCCTCTGTCCTGCCTCGCTTGGTCCTTCTCTGGCTATTGCCCCATGCTCAGCCCATGGAGAGCATTGACCTCACTGATGTGCTGGGGAGCTGCTGTGCTGGCACTGCTGGGGCTCTCTGTGCAGGGCTGTCTTTGGTCAGCCCTCACTGGCAGACACTCCCCAGAGCTCTGCACCCCTCAGTCTGGGGTGACACAGCCCCCCAAGAGGAGCTGGAATCCCTGTGGCCATGGGAATGTAGGTCAGCCCTCCCCAAAGAGGGAAAAAAACAGGGGGAAAAGCTCTGCTCTTTGCAGTTACATTCAGTCCAGAAGGATGCAACCTGCAAACTTCTATAATGACACTGCAATTCAGGATTAGTTTTGAGCCTACTCCCTGTTCAGCCAGATGTTTTACTTGTGTTTTGCAGAGGTTTCAGTTTTTTCTGGAGACATACCCTTGACTCCAGTGTCCTTCTCTCTTTGACTTGTAGTATTCCTATTTTCATCTATGGCAGCAAAGGTGTGTCCTCCAAGGCATGCAGAAAGCTTTGGTCACACACAGAGTTCAATTTTTTCTTGTCCCCAGAGTAGCTGTTATTGTAGCTGCATGTTTATCTATATTTAGCCTAGAGGATCGTGGTTGTTTTTCAGTATCTCCTTCCCTGTGGCGCAGAGCTGCAGCTCCCCATTTTCTCTCCTCTCTCATCACCATCCCACTTTCCCAACTGGGACCACAAAATAGATGCAATTTGCTAAGACTGATTTTTTTATGATGTTCTTGATTGGGTCCAGTCCCCTGAGAATATGAAGTACCTGAAGACCTTCAGCAAGCAGACTTCAGTCCTTGATTTTTTAGGCACCTTTTGCCCCCTAACTCTGCCCTTTGGCCCATCTCCCTTTCCAGCTGTGAAGCTCCTTTACAGCTTTGATTCCTTCACATTTCAGGTTTAAGTTTGGAAAGGCCCTCAGCTCTGTTGCAGAGCCTAGCACCCTTTTTGTGGGTGTTAATGGCCAAGGAGGCTACGGGAGCCCTCGTGCACATCACCTGATCTTGGTGCAGGAGGCTGGTTTCAGTTTTTCTTGCCTTTCATTATGCCACATGTTGGTTGAAATGTGTTGTCCTGAACTGACTGTCACGAACTTGACACTCACCTCTCGCTCTCGCCTCTGTCACCCCCAGTTGGTGACACATCAATTCCAGGCAAGGAATTAACGAGAGCCATAAATAAAGTGGAATATCAGGCAAATGCCTTTCTGTGCAATAAAAGAGCCGTTGTTCAACATCAGAGGTTGGGATCAGGTCCCCCAGGGAAAAAAATCCCCAGCAGATGACACCTCCAGCAGTCATTCCAGGCACAAAGTGATTTCCTCTTTTAAAGACACATCTATCAATTTGGCTCAGTGACAACACAGCTCACCTGGGAATGAACGGATATAACAGATGGCAGTTTCTGGGAATTGTGGCTAATTCATCAGGAGTTTTTGACCAGGTCATTTGTCTAATAAAATTGAAGAAAGGCTCAGTTTTATCTCTGGTTAAACAGAGGATTTTTGCAAGAGCCCTCTAATGGCTGTGCTCAGGATCCTGTCTTGTACTGCTACTGGAAGGTTCTCTAGGGCAGTGCTGTAATGGGTGAGTTATGCCAGTGCAGGCATGGCATGTTTGCTCCCTCGTCTCAGGTGAGAAAGTTAGGGCACAGGCTGTCAAAGAGGCTCCATAGCTCCTGGGGAGGCTCCATAGCTCTCTAATTTCGTAGCCTTTAAAATGTTTTCTTAGTTGAATCTACAGAAACCTTGCATCTTTTACACAAGAGGTGTTCTAGAAAGGTGAAGGAATTATGAAGTAACAGAAGTGCTGAATGCAATAAGAAAATTGTTTGCCTTAAGGCAAACCCAAGGATTGGTGTGGCAGTGCCAGTTTCAGGCAGGCTGGGCTTGGGGAACTGCCTGCAATTAGAGATGCTGAGCAATCAGGAAAACACAAGCCTTAAGGTTTGACCCTAAAGCCCAGCAGCAATCCCCAGTACATCCCTCGTGAGCACCAGTAGCTCCCAACACGTTCTGTCACGCTGCCATCACTGTTCAGCCTTGTCATACTGCCCTGAGCCCCTTCCTCAGCCTCACTGGCTGGATTTGATCATTTCTCAAGTGGGCTAGTTTGTAAAACTTGTGATTTGTTTGAAGTGAATAATTTAAAAGATGGATCCAGAGGAAGGCATGTTTGTGCTTGGAATATCAAATTCTTAATAAGCCTTTGTGATTCATGTTTATGAAAACAGCTCCCCACAAGGTGGAATGAGAGCTGAAGGAGTTGAAAGGAAAAACAGCACAAAGATGCAGGAGACATATCCAGGCAGGGCAGTTGGATGTCATTCTTTCTCCCAGGTGCTCCCCAGAGATGTGATGCTGCTCTTTAGTGGGCAGACTGTGGGAGTGAGTGCTGGTGGATGGTGTGAGCAGCAGGGAGGAACACGTGCTCCACAGGTCTGTTGGGGACTATGTGAGGGGCGAGTGCCAATGCCTGGTTTGTGCTCTGCCAGCAGTGCCACAACTCACCAGGATGTGGGTGTGATACAGAGGTTTCAGGTGAAATCACAAGTTTTAGTTCTACCCTCCACATTTTCCCAGCTAGATCAGGTATTTGCAGCAGGCAACTGGTATCACTGCTCTCACAGAGCAGATATATAGGCACAGCTGTAAATATTTACTGAAATGCTTACAGTGTACAGACAAGAAAACAGGAGTTCATTGCCACAGCATCAACTTTTAGACCTATAAAGGTGATGTTATTCTGCTTTAACTCAGGAACTAGAGCAGCAGTGGATTTCTAGCTGTTTGAAGCTAATGACTGAGGAAGGTGTTGTCACAGCATCTCTATCAGCAAAAGCCACTTTACTTCGATCTCTGTGGTTAGAGAAAACAGCAGCAATCCAGCTCCCCTCTGTTACTGCTGAGGGGGCAATGAGGCTGCAAAACACAGCACACGGAACAGCTGATGTGTTGATAATGAGCTCACCTTTGTCAGGGGTGAGCAGGCTCAGTGCCTGAGGAGCAGATGAAGGAGATGGGGAAGTGGAGCCTGGCTGTGTTTGATCTGGAGAACTGGGCTCAACTAATCCACAAGTTTCAGAGAGATTCTCTTCAGTGCAGCCAGCCAGGTCTGATCACCTGTTTCTCCATGTGGGGCTGCTCTGCCCCCTGACAGCGGTTCAGTGAATGGGGAATAATAAACTGAGTGCCTGAAAAACCAAAAAAGGCAAGTAAGAGTGTAGGAAGGAGCTAGGTGGGAGCATTGCCTTTCTCATCCCCCTGTGGATCACATCCACCTCTTTTATTTCCTTTTCGGTTTGCAGGCAGCAGCTGTGCACATTATAGCTGTGGCAACAGAGCCCATTCCTACCCCAGGGGGTTTCATGATGTTTGGATTTCTGTGCAAGGCTGTTTTGCTGGCTGCCAAAGGTGTTTGGTTCCAGACAGGAGTCATCCTCTAAAGAGGAAAATGGAGGGAGTGCTTAGTACCTGGAACACCAAATGGAGAGCAACTAGAAAGCCAAACATAGGGATTTTTTTTTTAATTATTTTTTAAAACATAGTGGAATTTTTTCCTGTGAGAAAAGTTCAGTTCTCTTCCTCTCAAATTTAGGAAGACTCAAAACAATCGTCACTAAATTACTTCTTGAAGAACTCCCATTTTTTTGCTCCCCGAAGGGAAAATAAGGGGATATTTGAAGTAATAAGACATATCTGCAAGCAGCCTTCAAGCTGAAATATTTTCTGTCAGTTCTCCCACCAGAATACTTTTTTCCTGGAAGCTCCTTTCCATGGAGTATTTTACTTCATGTTTCTGACTCAGACCTCTGTCTTTCAGGACACGTGCACATCACCGATTTCAACATCGCCACGATGCTGACCAAGGAGATCCATGTCACCACCATCGCTGGCACAAAGCCCTACATGGGTGAGAACCAACACCAGTTACATGTTCTTGAATTACCATTTTATGGTGGGACACAGGTGAAGTCCTTTTTGATGAGGGTTTGGGCTCTTTTCTTCCTTGTCTGTTCCAAAATATACATGTTGGTTTGAGATAAGGAGCATCCCGGACAGGGGCTGTGGGGCAGGGACAGGGAATGCCTCAGTGCAGCTGGGGAACGTGCACCCTGTCCCTCTATGAATCCTAAATGCAGATAGACTTGAGTTACACTGCAAACACAGATTTCAGTGCCATGATGCCATGCTGTACAGCATGGGTTTGATTATAAACTAAGATGGTTGCACTCTGGAGATCCCCGAGCATTTCACAAGCAGCAGTCACGCTGTGTAGCGATGATGAAGTGCTCCTGCAACCCTTGAGAAGGGAAAATGAAGCACAAAGGTTTATATTTGGCCCCTTAGTACATCAGCACAAGCCTTATGCTGCTGCATCACTAGCAATAATTTGAATTTTTATATAAAATGGCTGCTCTGAAAACGAGCGTTACTCTGTGTTTAGGCCAAGTGAGTGGTTGTAAAAAAGCACCGCTCCTTGTTTGTTGGTTTTAGATCAATTTCTTCCTCCCAACTTGTACAAAAATTCCGAAGTTTTTTTTTCCTTTCTCTCAAAAGGGAAATTTATTGGCTAAGAAAGAACATTTCAGTCGGTACCTTCCCCCTAGTTTCCCATTAAAAGCTGTGGCTCTTGGGCTTCCTTCAGTTAAAATTTGTTTTTCCCTGCCAAGGGTGCAGTTGGCACCACGTCTGCATTTATGCTGCATATTAATGTTCCCAGAGAGCTGCTTTCATTGATGGTTGAGACTGGATTTGGGCTCTGCCAGATTGAACTGCTTTAAATATGAACAAAGAGATGAGTGGGATGGGAGCAGCTTCCCAACATGCAGATCTGCCGAGCGCTGCTGGGGCACAGAGGCTTCCTGGAGCACATTTACTATGGATGACGGGCAACGCCTGTGTCAGTAAAAGGAATTCATTCCTTTTGGGCTTTGGGGGCAGAGAAGCACTGAGAGGTTCACGTGCAGGGGACTGTGGGGCTGCTGAGGACTGCTGGGTGCCGCTGGCGCGGGAGTGTGGCAGCACGGGAGGGGCGTTCTGTGTTGCTCATTCCCCCTTGGGATTGCAGCAAGGCAAACTTTCTTTTCCCTGTGTTTCACAGCACCTGAGATGTTTAACTCCACAAAACCCACCGGCTACTCCTTCGCCGTGGACTGGTGGTCACTGGGAGTCACTGCCTACGAGCTGCTCAGGACCCGGGTACGTGTGCGGCTCCTGGCCTGGCTGGCTCTGTCCTGTTGGGAATGTTAATGCTTTATAGCAGGCACAAGAGGGCCAAGCCAAATTCAACATTTTAGGGGTTGTTACAGCATAGGAAGCAGGGACTATATGTCCACCATGGCTCCTGTGATGGCCAAGAGCTCAGAGGGGCTGCTGCAATACAGAACACCATGGGGTGGTGGTTCCCCACTGCAGCTGAGGGCCTCTGGGTTGGCATAAGCAGGGCAAGGCAAACAAGGAACAGCTCCTGAGGTCTGGGCTGCAATGTCCTTTACCTGGAGCTCTCATCCTGCAAGGAAAAAAGAAAACTTGAAAGAAAATCTCATTGCTATTGTAACCGTACTGAACACTTGAAGCAAATGACGGACAAAGCCCAATCCCTGTCTGTGCTGTCAGGGCTCTGCTGCTGACACAGATAAGACACAGATAAGATTGGGGGCCTTGTAGACAGACAAATACATCAGTGTTTTGCAAGTGTTGTGTAAAAAAAGTGGGACAACATTTTAAAAATTACGTTCTTTGAAACAAAAGGAGAATGTAATTTAAAGAAGAATGTTGAAAATCTTGTGAGGCTCGGAAACGTCTTTCAGTATGAGTATGCAAATATTTTTTTTAAAAAAACTCTATCATAAGTCTTTGCAGAATGCCTAAAAAATGTTTTGCCTAAGAGAGATTTTTCAGCTGAATCTCTGTGTCTCAAATTGTGAGGGATCATGTTAGCAGACATTGAAGGGATGTGTCTGTCTGACCTCTTGGGTAACTGAAGCCACATCCCTGTAAACATCTTAATGTAATATTTGAGCTTTCCATTTATAATGGTAAATGAATGTCAGGACTGTGCATCACATTGATTTTTGAGTCGGTGGCACTGTTTCCAAGGGCAGGAGCAGAGATGGCTTTGCATGCTCACACCTGATGGCACAGCCACGGCGAGAGGGTGGCACCTGGGTGGCTGCCGCGCGGGGGAAGCGAAGGGAGACCTTGAGGTCCATCTAGTGTCGGCACACGTCAAGCACACTGCACCTGATCTGATCTCACTGTTTATAGCTACCATTTTTTGAATGTGCCTTTAACGCCCCCTCTCCTCCCCCTGATATAAGGTAAAAATCCGGTAATCAAAACTTTTCCAGTGGAAATACCCTGCCATCGTAAATTGTCTCTCCGGGTAAGGCAGCAGTACTGTTGTAGGTGGGAGATAAGCAGGGAGGTGCTACTCCATCCCAGTGCTATGACACCAGTCACGGAGCAGAAGGGATGGTCATCTTGCAGCCTGGAACTCACCTGGGGCTGCTTACCCTTCCCGGGACATCCCCTTCTGAGCTGACTTGATCAGTGGGAGAAATCCAGCTCCTTTTCACTAGCATTGTCCCCAGTGTGAGTGGAGAACTGAAAACACTGGCACATTTTACAGGGAATATCAGGAATGCTCTAAACACATCACTGTGTGTCATAGCCTCATAAGATATAAACACTGATAAGGCTAAGCAAACTCATGCTGGTTTTAGTTCTGACTTCTGGGCTTTGCTCTTGCCTGTCCCGCTGTTAAATGTCCAGTTATTAGCATGGACCTTGCTGATATTTTGTTTATTTCAACTAAACCACGGTCACACAGGGAGAGATGTCCCACGGGAGACTGGGGACTGGACAGAGAGACTGTGCTATGCTCTAAACAGATTTCCTAAGGAGTCCTGGAAAAAGCAGATAAATTCAGGTGTTTTCCTTATGGCGTTTCCCACAGAGGCCGTATCACATTCGCTCCAACACCTCCACAAACGAAATCGCCCACGTGTTCAGGACAGCCAGGGTGATGTACCCCGCCGCGTGGTCCCCAGACATGGTGTCGCTGATCAAGAAGGTGAGGTGGGCGAGGGGCTGGGGTGTGCCCAGTGCTCCTGCCACTCGCATTGCACCAGAGGGGAGTCCTTGCAAAGAGTGTCCAGGCTGGAGTCAGTGACATTTGGGTGGCACTGTGTAATAAATGTCAGTGTTTGGTGCTCAGCTGCAGGAGGTGATGGCAGTGAGCAGTGCTGTGTTCCAGGCTGGCAGCGGTGACAGCTGCACCTCCTCTAAGGACATGGTAGCCTTCACATCCAGAGTTTCCTCTAGCTCTCTGGAATGACCTAGCTTAGAAGCAGATATTGACATATGTGTCAATAAGTTTAGCAAAAAAAATTATTTTTATTTTAATCCTCAAAAAAACCCATTTTTCCCAACAGTGGAAATATTTGCAGGAAGTGCTGACACTGTTGAAATCCTTTGATGCCATGTGGTTTATGCGCCACTGCAATTTTTTTCAGTAGAGCTTCCTATGCTGTAATAACCCCTAAAATCTTGAATTGCTTCAAAATCATTACTGGAATCATTTTGAAGCTGAAATCCCATCTGAAGTGAAGCCACAGCTTCAATAAACAAGACTGTGGCTTGACAGTGTCAGACGCTGTCTGCACACAGCGGCAGCAAAGCTGAGCACTGACCCCTGCACAGCAGCACAGGCAGCACATTTTGGGAATGCATGTAAATAATTTTCTAATTTTCAGATCAGTGTAGGCCATAAAGTAGTACTTAATGAAGCTTTCATCTATTTTTTTTTCCAAATAGTATGTGTAAGTATTCTGTCATTTCTAATGAAATACTCTGAAACATTTTTATGAAAAGAGGCCATCAATTCTTTGCTGAGACAGAATCACAGCTTATTTTCCAGCAAGAAAATTGAAGAACATTTCCATTTGCTTAAAATTCAGTGAAGCCAGTATTTCATTGAGCTAACAGTAATACAGGGATATTTACTGCAGCTGTCCTCTGTGTCTCTGTGCTGAGAGTTTTCCCCTGGAACCACCGCATGCTGCAAGCCATGGAGGCTCCCTTGTGAATAAATAATGCAATGTCACAATTATTTAAATTTCCCAGTGCCCCTTTGCATCTGGTTTAACAGCCAGATGTATTATATATGAGGCCAACTGCGGCTCCTTCCTGGCTCAACCATCCCCTGTGGAGTTGTGTATTTATTAGCGTCCGAGGCAGATGTTTGTCCTTGCAGAGCCACAGGGCTGGCGTTGGGCTGGAGCCCAGAGGGACCCTGGTGGTGGGGACATCGCTGTGTGCCCAGCTGCACATCAGCATGAGGAGAGCTGGGGGGGGTCACTGTGTCCACACCCTCCCCAGAGGGTTTGGATCATCTGGTTTTCCTGCTGCATTTTTGGACTGCATGTTCTCAGGAGTTTATGCAATGTATAAGCCGTGAACAGAGACAAACCTCAACCCTTTCCTTCCACACAAGTAATTCCTACAGCAATGTTAAAAAATGATGAAAATAAGCAGTGTGAAGGCACACTTTCACGCTGAAATAAGAATATTCCATTAGTAGAGTGAGAAAATGGATGTTTAACTGATACGGTAATAAATGCAGAACACAAAGGCCTGAGTTTAACTCCCCATTCCAAACACTTATTTTTAACCTTGGACAAATTGTCTAATGCCACTGTACTGCCTCAGAGCCCGCTTCTCCAATGCGGATAAAAATCGTCCATAAAAATAGGAATAAATGGAGGTAAAGCTTGTGAGCCTGTCGCATACCATGGTGAAGAGACTCTGAGCCAGAGCAGCAGAGAGGCACTGGTCCAAGTGATGCAGTGTCACTGGTGCCACTTGTTCCTCAGCCCCACTCCATGGAGTGTGTGCCCCATGGGGATGGTCTCATCTCTTCCCTTTAACTCTCACTGCAGTTGCTCGAGCTGAACCCCGAGAAACGTTTTTCTCGGCTGGAGGACATCCAGGCCTTCCCATATCTGTCTGATGTGAACTGGGATGCTGTTCTGCAGAAAAGGATTATGCCAGAATTCATTCCCACGGTAAGGTCGTTTGAGCATAAAGGTTCCCAGTGTGCCCAAGTGTCATAACTTGTCCTCACACCTGGCACTGGGACATGGGATGTTCTGACAAACTTCCACTGGAGTATCAGGTGTCACAAGGGAAAAAGGGAGACCAGGGCAGGGCTGTCACTTCCCTGTGGGTATAATAAGGAGTAATGGTGGTGGCTGCAGTGTGGGTGCCCCAAAATTGATCTGCTCTGTTTATATTGTTCCTGGAATTTCTGGGTGCAGAATTGGTGTTACAGGCTCTGGGCTGGGGGTCCATGTGGGATGGAACATGTGGGCAGTGCCTGTGAGTCGTGCTCTGGACAATGCTGCTCCCCACATCCAAACACCCAGCGCACAGGAATGGGCTCAGCAGCAGCCTGGAGATCACCCACCATCTTATGGGAACTGTTTCCTCCTGTAATGCCTGCCTTAAGTAGCTCATTATTCACAGTAAATAGCACATACACTAGATTAGTGTTTCTGAGCCTTTTTCAATTGGATTAAAGCAGCACACAAGTAACATTTTCCTTATGGAGAGCAGTCCGAGGGCTGTCGTGTGCAGTTTTCAGCCACACAGAAGCTGAGGTAAACTGTGAATATTTGTTAATTGTATGTATTTCCCTCCCCTGTGGGTGTGATTCTGTATTGCTTTAAGACCAGTTCTGCAGGTTGCTGTGCTGCTCCCAAAGAGGCACAGCCCAGCCAGGACACTGTCCTCATCCTCATTGCCACTCTGAAGCCACCAAAGGGCAGAGGAGAAGCAGGAGCACAGAAAGAGCCACTGTCACAACTTGAATATTCCCTCTGGGAGAAGGGACTGATAAAGTATGGCAGGAGTACAGCAGTTGCTCTGGGTGCATGTGCAACTGTAATTAGTGTACCTTTTTACAAAATTCAGCTCTCAGGTGCAGTCCAGTTTATGACAGGCTCTCAAGACAGGCTCTCAAGACAGGCTCTGACTACTTATGGTTGCCTTTATCTCTCCCCTCCAGAAAGGCAGACTAAACTGTGACCCAACCTTTGAACTGGAAGAAATGATTCTGGAATCCAAGCCTCTTCACAAAAAGAAAAAGCGCTTGGCTAAGAAGGAGAAAGACACGGGCAAAAGCAATTCCTCCCAGGTGAGAGCAAGCAGGTACAACCATGTGGTCAAGGAGATCTCTCATTTTCCAAGGAAGATGATTACCATCTAGCAAGACCACAGCAAACTGGTTGAACAGAACATTTTTCTCACTTGTGACCAACTTTATTCCTAAAACTCTCCTGCATCTTCCCTGTGGTGGAAGGCAGAATGTTTAAGCACTGGTTTAGTGCCTTAATGCCATTCTCCCCACTCTAGGGCTGAAGATGCTCTGTGCCTAAAGATATCGCTGTGCCTCCTTGAAATTGCCCTTGCAATGTCTTTCTGTGTCAGCTGTGAATTTATTCCCCATCTCTTTTATTTTTCCATTCCAATGTGAAAGGCCAGCCACATCCAGAAGCACCTGGAGATGCTCCAGAGGGACTTCATTGTTTTCAACAGAGAAAAGTAAGTTCTGATCCAGAGGCAGAAAAAGGGGCTTTAGCCCTTGCCAAAGCCTTTGACAGGTTTGAGGGGTCTAGAGCTGGGGGGGCCTAGGACTGGGAGGGGCTTAGGGCTGGGGAACCCCAGTTCTGAGGGGGCTCAGGGGGCCAGGGAGTGGGGTCCTCCCAGGTGGTGCACCACTGTGGGGTCTTGGCTCTGTGTGGGCCCCCCCCAACTCAGCTGTCCTTCTCTGTCCCCAAGGGTGAGACACCACCAAGACAACATCCAGGAGACCACACCGCTGACAAAAAGCGGAGGCACGTACAGGGAGGACAACCAGAACAACAACCTCTGAGAGCAGCACAGCCCCTGCAGGAGACCTCCCCGTGGGGCTGGGGCTTGCCCACCCACACACTGTCACCGTATTGGACCGTGGACTCGTTCTCTGCTGCCAGGACCCTGCCAGCAGCCCAGGGCACCAGGGGGAGCTGGGGCACCCACCACCTCAGCCTGCCACCCCACAGCCAGAGGGTCCTGGGTGTGGGGAGAGGCTGTGGGTGCTGCCTTGCAATTTGCCACAGTCAGCTGGACTCAGATCCTATTGTGCTGCCTTTCCTGATGGCAGGAATGTGACCATGTGACAATGGATGAGACAGTATCCACCCTTCTGGCTTGGCTGGCCGGTGCCACAGCTCTTGGTGCCACCTGTGCTCAGAGGTGCCACTATCCTGTCAGCTGCAGTGCTGGGGCCACAACAGCACCGTGGGTGAGGGCCCTCCAGGAGCTGGGACTCCGGCATGGATGGGCTGCTCCAGGTGGAAGAGGCGACTCCCGGGTGCGCAGTGACAAAAGTGGCCCTTGCTTACAGACAGCTCCTGTGAACACCCCGTGAAGGTGGGCATGGGGGTCTGGAAGTGGCAATGAGCTCCTTCCTTAGCTGGGAGGAGGCAGCAAAGGTTTCCTGTCCCTTTCCCTCTCCTCTCTCCACATACCCAGCAGGGCTGGCATGGCCTGTGTGTGCAAATAGATGTGACACCAAGAGGTAACAACCAGGCACTGACGAATCCAGATGCTTTTCCAGCATGAAAAATGCCTGAAAAAATCCATTCACCATCACGTTAAACTGCTGCCACCAGAGGGAAATTTTAATGTGTATTTTGAATCTCTCTACTATTGAAATCATACTTGATTTAAGCAGGGACTGTTTGCAGGAATGGCTGCACTGCTGGTGTGGGTCTTGGCCAAGACTGAGATTGGCCAAGGCATTTCTACTGCGGTAATGCTGGGAATGATGCTGTTATTTAAATGCTTTGGCAGGCCTGAGGTTTCCCCTCCTTCTTTGACATTTTTCCCATTCTCAGCAATATAGCAAATGCATGATGAACTCCTTGCCTCCTGTTTACCCAAAGGGACACAGCCTGTCTGGATGGAATTAGTTCAGCACTAAATGGGTAGTGGAGCCCTCAAAGTATGGTCATTGCCATGGTAAAGTCAAGGCAGGGGTCCACACACCACAAGTGTGTTTATCTGGAGTCCCAGACAAGGAAACCAGCCCTGCTCCTCCTGGGGAAAAATCTACTGCTACAGAAATACCTCTGTACTGGCTGGTCAAAAAACCCAAAACAACTGAAGTACTTAAATGGTAAGAACATCGCATCTTTAGAAATTCCCCAAAGATTTCCGCAACCATCTCTCCCCCTCTTCCATTGTAAACAGAGGCACAGTCTCAGCTTAATCACCACCAGGCAACAGGGAAAAATCTTTAATTACTTGATAGCAGCAATTCACAAAGCTTGTAAGCATGAACAGCCTTCCCCATGCCTGGCACAACTATTCTGGCCCGGCCCCTTAAGGACTGCTGCATGGACAGCTTGTTCTGCCCGACTTGCAGGCATGTAAAAATAAGTATTTCAAGGTCAAATACTAAAGAAGGACAAAAAAAAAAAAAAAAAAGTGTATTTGTTTAGCACAGCCTAAACTGACCCTTTATTTTCGTAATCTAAAAAACAATCACTTTTTTTTTCTGCATGCTTTTCAAGCTTTAGAGGGCAGTGCTTCTCAGTCTGACAGACACTGCTGGATGGAAGGGGAGCATTTAACTCACAGGTGCCCACAGAAAACAGCCCAATGCCATGCCCAGGCAGTGCCACATGGAGCCAGTCCCTGTCACCACACAGAATGACAGGAACAGCTTTTGTGGGGCAGTCACAGCCCCCTGTGCCCAGGCCAGGCTCAGCCAGAGACTGCATGGACAAACTGGCTTTTACAAACACTTGCAACGTGCTGTTTTGCCTGAGCAGCTACACCAACCCCCTGACACCACACTGTGTCACCCTGACAGCCCATTCTTGCAGCCCCTCCAGCCCAAACAACACCCTGAGCCCCTCCTGCCACCCCAGCCCAGATCCCCACGGGCACAGCTGGGCACCGTCCCTGCCAAGCAGCAGCTGCCTGAGGAAGAAAAGAGTCAGCCAGCAACATGACTTGTTTGAAGGAACAACTTTTTTTTTTTAATAAAGTGTACAAAGTAGTAAAACTCCTTACACGAGGTGCTGTGACAGCCGTTACAGAGATGATTCGGGCTCCCCCGTAGGCCTCGTGGTGAAACGCCAGAGCGTTGGGTGGAGATGAAGGACATGAACACGACAGACCCACCTGCCCCTACCAGCTCAGTGCACCTGCCCTCCCCATCCCACATCCTGCCTCTGGCCAGACCCTGCCCCCTCGCTGGGTCACCCCACGGGCCGTTCCCACTGTCCCACACCACGGCATCCCACACGCGTTCAACACCAATAACACACTGAACCAGCGACCTGTCCGAGCTGCATGCATACAGAGAGGAAGAGCAAAACACAACCCGACCGAACCCACAACAGTGACAACAACAGAACCTTAAGGCTATGCAAAAACAAAATGAAGCAACATCTTTAAAGCTAGGTAGCAAGTAGCATTTGTGAAACATAAGGCTTGAGGCTTATTGATTCTTCTGAACAGGTTTATTTCTTTTCCTTCTTAAAACACCAATGTACCATTTTTCTTCCTTTGCTTGAACAGGGATTTTGTTTCCTCCTCAGCCGGGACATTTAGCTCAGGGAGGTGATGTTGGAGCGGCCTCCTGGGGGTGCGACGATGCGCTTGCTCGCTGAGCGCACACCTTCATCAACCTGGGTACCTGGGACAGGACAAGAAAGCACAAAGGAAAGGGGGAGAGCAAAGTTAAGAGCATTTGCTTCACAGGACTGAACAGTCAGGCAGCCTGGAGTCTTGCCAAGGGCCTCCTGAGGCTGCCTACAGCAACTTACTCCCTCTCCCAACTCCAGTAGCAACCCCGAGAGGAGCAGTGGCTTGAACATCTCTGCAGATGCTCCATGAACAGACCCAGACAGCAAGAGCAGCATTGGATGCTGTGCTGGCCTCCACAGGCACAGTCTGCTTTTCTTCTACTGCAACATGCAGCTCAGCCACGTCCTTTAAGGAACACAAAGGGTCTTGCCCTGCCATGATCCACTCTTGCACTCACCTTGCCCCACGCCACCTCCCAGCTGCCCCTGCCCCAGGAGAAGGGACACGTTTCCAGTGGCTCTGCCCTCTCCCCGGCCCAGCCACATGTGCTCACCTGACAGGCTGAATCCGGACTGGTGGAGGTTCCTGACAGGGGGTGTCTGCCGTGTGGGGGACCCCCTGGTTGACCCCGCAGGGGTGCCCCCCTTGGGGGTGGTGGTGAGGTCAAACACAGGTCCATCATACAAGCCCCGGGGCACGGCATGCATCTCTGCCATCTGTCACCGGAGACAAGAGGACAGTGGCACTCCTCTGAGCCTAGGGAGCATCATACTCCAGCCACCCCTGGCTCCCCGGTCCCCCTGCAGAAGGAACTCTCACTGCCAGCCCCGTGCCCCCCGAGTCCTGCAGTGCCAAGGCCTGGCACAGCCCCACCACCCACCCCTCACCTGTCCTGCAAGGTGTGCAGAGCTGGCACAACAGCCCAGATGGGGCTCGTGCTGCACAAATGAGGGAGGACAAGGCGAGTTTGGCCAATCTAATTTTTAACTCAGCACTTCCCTCCACACTCCTGCTGCAGCAGGACAGGATGAGGACAGACATCACCACTGCTGACCTCGAGGAGCATCTGCCTCCAGCTTGGCACACCACCAACACAACAGGAAAAGCTGCCTACCCAAACCTCGGCTATACAACCATATATTCAAAATATATCAGTCTGCAGCACTGCTTACAGGGTCCAGCAAGAACAGCAGAGGAAAAACAACCAGTTATGAAGGTAAAACGTGATTTGGGTGAGCAGTGTCCCAGCTCTGTCTCCTGGCACCTCTGCCTCCTCACCTTCCTCCTGGCTTTGATGCGCTTGTAGACATAGTCAGGGAAAGGGCTGCTGGGCAGGAAGCGTCCAGTCCCCTGGGTCACATGTAGGTTGCCATCCTCCAGCATGATCTTCCCCTGGCATATGACAACCAGCGGGGCCCCACGGAGCTCCATTCCCTCAAAGATGTTGTATTCAGCTGCCTGCAGAAACCCAGGGATAACGGTCAGGAGGGATATGAGCACTGCCTGCCCACTCAGGGTGGGTCAGTTGCCACACCTCGCTGCTAGAGTCACCAGTGCAGGGAGAGGACACCTGTAACAGCCTTGCCTGCCTCAGAGGCCTCCTGAAGCTCACTAGCCCAGCACAGTAAGAACCCCCCAGAGCTCCCAACATGAACCAGGACCTGCTGCTTCGAAGCTCAGCGTGAGGACAGAGTCCAAGAACAGAGGAGGGCAGGACTTAGGCTTGAGGTAAGGCATGAACAAAGCACACTGGCAAAGCCAGGAAAAATTTGTGCCTGGAAAAGGAATCCAGATTAGGAGAAATGTATGCCCTTATGCCTGCATGGGCCAGGGTCAGGAGAAGAACACCCAAGCAGGGCAAGGAAAGCACCATGTGCAGAGCCCAGGGTTCACAGACATCCACAGTCACAGCTGGCACGCCCAGAGCCTGGGCTCAGTTCCTCTCCTCAAAGACAGACAGGGCAGCACCAACTCCCAGCAGCCAGGCAGCCTTTCTAGAGAGCTACTCACACCCCACCCTCCTGCATTCACACAGATGAGCACAGGACTTACAGACTGGTGGGTTTTTGCTGTGATGATCTTCACTGCATCAGGATCCCATATAACCAGATCGCTGTCCGAGCCCACTGCTATTCTCCCTTTCCGTGGGTACAGGTTGAAGATTTTTGCAGCATTAGTGCTTGTCACAGCCACAAATTGGTTTTCATCCATCTTTCCTGTGGCCTGCTCGGACACAAAGAGAACTAAGTTGTCTTTTTGGGGAAAGGGAGATTAAGAGCCCTGGGAAGCACCAGACTCCCTCCCACACGAGATGCCAGCTGGCTGGGCACAGGTTGTTGAGGCTCATCTTCCCACTGGCACCAGACAGATCAATAAGCTGGGGCACAGTCACAGCTCCAGGCTGTTCACCCTGAACCTACAACAGCTGCCTCTCCTGCTCCAGCTTGGTTTGACTCCCATAGTCAGAGAGGGGGCAAGCAGCTGAGGGGCAGGAGCATAGGTGTGTGAGGTGGCAGCCAACCCTGCCCCCCTCTGCCCTCTCCCTGGTGGGACTCTCACCACTGCCTTGTCCCAGATGATTGACATTCGCTCCTCTATGCCGTTGGTCCCTTCTGGGATGGCTGTGAAGTTGTCTTTTCCGATGGCTTTCTGCGCGGTGCTGAAGGTACAGTGAGCGCTTCCCGAAACCTGCAGGTCACCACTGAAGGGTGGTGGAACAAACACAGTCAGTCGTTCTGCAGTCAGACAGCAGCAGAGACACAAGGGACA